GCCCGGCCGCCGGCCGGGCGGGCGCTCACCGTGGCGCCCGTGGAGACGGCGCTGACGTTGGCCGGCGGCGCGGCGGGCACGTCGCTGGGCGTGCGCACGCGCAGCTCGCCGGCCGGCGCGCCGCCCGCCGCCGCCACGCGCAGCCAGTACGCGGTGGCGGCGCGCAGCCCGCTCAGCGTCGTGGCCACGACGTCGCCGCCCAGGTCGGCGTCCACGTACTGGAACTGCTCGCGGCCGCTCTCCGCCTGCAACGCCACCGGCCCTTGCACGTCGCCCGCTCTCCGCCGGCGGGAGTGCGGCGGTCGCTACGCACCTCGCTGTAGTGCACGGAGTACTTGGCGGGCGGTGTCGGTGCGGCGGGCGGCGACCACGATACGCGCACGGCGTGGGGACCGACGGCCTCGGCCCTGACGTTCGTGGGGGGACCGTACGTCAGCTCCTCCTCGGGGGTAGTCACCTCGATTATCTGTTCGCGCAAATATTTATTCTTCTTCTTCTTTGTAGGAAATCTCGTCTCCGGCAAAATAAAATTCATTTGCGTTATTAGTCCGACAATATAGCGACCGAAATAAACAAAATCTGCAAGTAAACGTCACTGTAGGCGTACGGTTTCAAATTATACCTCATATATACCAAGGGCCGTACAAGTGATCCCTGCGGTACTCCCTATTCTAAATATCCAATAAAATCCGACAGGAGTCCATTATCTTGCTGGAAACTACAAAGTTAAAACCGCGATAATGAACAGAGCTTCGTGTATTTGTAAAGAGACACAACTCCACTAGAATTTTGAGAACAATATTTAATACAGAAAGTAGTAAGCTAGTCGAAAGCATCATGAAAGTCTTCAATCGTAATTGAGTACTTTTATTTCCGAATCCCTCGCCTTCACTCTGAACAATTAAATGAAATAGGATTTAAATGTATATGTATCTCTCTCTCTCTGTCTCCCTCTTTCTCTCTCTCTGTCTCCCACTCTCTCTCTCTCTCTTTGTCTCCCTCTCTCTCTCTCTCTGTCTTTGAGAAGAATACGCACTTGACTGGGCGGCGACACGGCATGTTCGGTGAAGGCCAAGATAGCAAACTGATAAGTTGTGTTGGGCTGAAGCGACGCTACGTTCATCTCGTGCTTGGAGGGGCCGCCGCGGGACACGCGCTCTCTGTTTTCCAGTCCACAGATATTATACTTTTTTAAGTGTTACCATTTTATGATTAATAATATTAGGTTACAAAACGATTGATATTTTGTTGTAGTATTACTTCAGATAATAAAGTTTAATAACACAATTATGCTATAAATTGCTGCTTACTATTTCGTGTTATATAAACCAACGACTCATGGTGATTTAGATCATACAAGTCTAAGGCTGTTTGGGAAGTTATGCTTCGTGAATCTTTTGCGACACCCAAGTGCTCTTTTCACGACTGTAAAAAAAATTGCTGAACCCGTGCTCAAAACTAGAAACATTCGCTTAATAGCCGTATGAACTCTGACCTAACCTATTACTACTTTTATAATAAGCTAAAAAATTGTTCTCACCTCTCACTCCCTTTCACCTTATAGACAACAGCATAACCCTGAATTTCCTCATTCTTAGTCTCCGGCTCTTCCCAGCTCAACGTCACAAACCGATGCTTTACGATTACCGCCTTTAGCCCTCTCGGCACAGAGACGATACTCTCGTTACCTTGTCTCGATACATCCAGATCTTTAGCCGCGTGTAAAAAGTTCAAATTGTTGTCATACACGTCTGTATATGAATTGTCGTATATAGGTTGCGGGGTGTACGCTGATGACGTTTCTCCCAAGTCTAAGTCTAGGTCATCGTAGGAATCTAGGTCACCAGTTCGATCTAGGTTTTGAGAAGGTTCCGGATCGGGGGGAGGGTCCGCGAGAGGGGAGGAAACGAGGGTATTGAAAATGTCTTGGGTCGATTTGGTGTAGGTTTTTTGGGTGCCGTTTGTTTCTGAAAAAAGATTTACGAAACGAACGTAAACGAAAGGAAAAACAAAATCAAACAAAAGTAAAATGATAAAATAAAATAAGGTATAACATAAAGCGAGCCGAAACGAAGATGACGAGGGAGGACCGACGAACAGCGGGCAGACCGTACGTACCGAGGTCCGGCGGGGCGACCTTGAGTCGGAGCGCGGCGTGCGCGGAGCCCGCGGCGCTGCTGGCGAAGCACTGGAACATGCCGGCGTCCACCAGCAGCACGCCCTGGATGCGCAGCGACGTGCTGCACAAAGGCGCGAACCGTGCGGTCATGCACCGGAAGAGAAGGAAGAGGAGCCCTGTCCAAACAGGGCACTCACCCGTCCACCAGCGCGATGTCGTGCTGGTTGGGCGACAGCGGCTCGCCGTCCTTGAGCCAGCGCACCCTCGGCGGCGGGCGGCCGCGCGCCTCGCAGCGCAGCGTCACGTCGCCGCGCGTGCGCGCCGCCACCAGCGGCCCCGACGGCAGCTGCACGCGCGGCGCCGACTGCAACGATCGCCGGTCAAACTCCGCCGCGCGCGAGGCCGCGCCCGAGGAACCCGCTTACCAGAACGTGCAGCTGGGTGGTGTGGTCGGCGGAGTCCAGCCTGTTGTGGGCCCGGCAGGTGTAGGCGCCGGCGTCGAGCGCCCGCGCCGACTGCACGCGGAGCGAGCCCGAGCCCGCCAGGTAGAAGCGCGAGTCCAGGTCGGACAGGTCGATGGCCACGCCGTTGTTCAGCCACGACATCTCCGGCTTCGGGTTGCCCACCGCCGCGCAGTCGAACGTCACGGACGCGCCTGGAAGCGCGGAACGAGCAAATAGTTTCGATTAAGCAATTTTGCGCTTCATGTTGATTCTAACGCATATATTCTAAACTTCATTCTAATGCGTACATATTTGAGTCTGTAATGTAATATATAATTTCTCAATAGACTTGTAGCTACCCAAATCAAACCCTTTCTCTGTGACTCACAGCATGGTTTTCGGCCGAAACGATCTGTAGAAACAAACCTGTTGACCCTGGTTGATTCCATTTCCGAACATCTGGATAGGGGAATACAAGTAGGCGTGTTGTACCTTGACTTTCAAAAAGCTTTTGACCGTGTAGACAATGATGTGCTTTTAAGGAAGTTATGTAGCATTGGTTTCTCACCCAAACTACTCAAGTTCTTTGCTAGTTACCTACGTGACAGACAACAGTACGTGCAACACGGATGCTTTGTTTCGGAAACTTATCACACCCGATCTGGAGTAAGCCAGGGTTCGATTTTGGGTTCGTTACTTTTTGGTATTATGATTAATGACCTAGCCTCAGTATGTAAGTACGCCAGATGTCTGCTCTATGCTGATGACCTCAAGCTGATTTACGGTATCCAGCAACTCTCTGATATTGAATCGCTTCAGGAAGACATTAACCGGATCTATCAGTGGAGCATCGATAACAGGCTTCTGTTCAATCTTGAAAAGTGTTCAGTCATAACTTTTGGCCGTGCCCGTCATCCTTTTTATGTCAAATATGTGTTAGGTACTGAGCTCATTACCCGTGTTGACTCTATTAAGGACTTAGGTGTCATTTTTGATACTCATCTTAATTTTCACGAGCATATCAAAGCGCTAGCCACCAGTTGCTATCGGAAGTTAGGGTTCGTTATACGCAATTCCCGTGATTTTTATGATCCTAGAGTCATCACACTTGCTTTTACTGCTCTAGTCAGAAGTAAATTAGAAGCTGCTTCAATAATTTGGAACCCTCATGGGACAACTTACATCGAACTTCTAGAGAAAATTCAAAAGACATTTTTAAGATATTTATATAAGTCAATGTATGGATACTATACATTTTTATATCCTTCGAAATTCCTTCTTGGCGTCTTGGGTTTTAATTCTTTGGTAGTAAGACGTAATTTTAGTCTGATGGCAATTACTGGTAGGATCCTGCGCGGAGATTCTGATTGCCCCCCCGCTAAATAAATTTAATCTGCGTCCACGTGGTCACTATCTTCTGGCAGAGCCGGCACTGCGCACTGTGGCACACAGTAAATCGCCACTAGTTCGCGCTCTGCACTGTTTTAATGCGCTTCTCGTATCTGCACCAGAATGTGATGTGTTCACAAGTAGATGGGTGACTGTGCGTGATGAATGTTTGAAGTTTTGTGAGATGATGGATGAACGACTATCATCTACGATTTAAAAATAATTTTATGTTGTATGAATTTCACAGTGCCTTAGTAATTTACTGTTATACTGTGTAATTTTATGAAATAAATAAATAAAAATGTAAACATTTTGGTAGTGTAATGTAGGTATTTTGTATCATATACATTTTATGTTTCAATACATGGCACACAGGCCTACAGGCACTACAGGTCTACTTCCCCGTAATTCAGGTTTTCCTATACCTATCTCGGGCACCGGTCTCTCACAAAACAGTTTGACCAATTTTTATATTTGTGTTAACCTTAAGTCCCCTACTCTCAAGCCTGTTTTGTGATTCAGAAATAAAACATCATTTCTTCATTTCAGTGGCTATAATGGGAAGAAAAAAGTTCTGACGGTTTTATTTGAGGCATTACAGTCAAGTTAGCCACCATGCAATAATACTATTTACGAACAAGTGTGATGAAAAAAACTACTTTGAATCTTTTTCTTAACCCATTTGATTGAAAATTATTTAGAAACACATCTCTTAGAATTGCTGTGCGCTCTGTACGGCACACTCGACTGCTTGTACTAAGCCGGTCTCCTTGTCTAAAAAGTAACTTCTCCCCTTTGCCAAAACGAAAATTTGTCACCGGCAAGGCCGCAGTCACTTACCCTCCATGACAGTGGCCGGCTGAGGTGTGGCGATGAACCGCGGCGGTGACTCGGTGCCCGCCACATCCGCGTTCACGCGTAACTCCATCTCTTCGCTCGTCCTGTCCATTTACCACAATACTTGCTTATTACTATTACATCAAGAATTTTAACATCGTTCCTCTAAGAGATAAAGATGCATATATACAAATATGTGCACGCTTCCATTCTTAATATCGCTGTCTTTCTCTGATGAACGCTTTGCTTCACGATAAGGAGAATTCGTGCTTTCGACTATTGCACACAAATGTACATTTTAAGAGACTTATACCGCCAGGGCTTCGTTCGGAGGTAAAGCTACTGGAAAGGTTTACATCCAGTAGAGGACAGTGGTAGTCCGATTACACTGACTTGTAAAGCTGCGGGTGCGAGGCGAGCGCGACTCGACACCGGTACGACGCCGCGTCGTGCGCGCGCAGAGGCTCTATCTCGAGTGCGCCGCTCGGCGTTATTGCAACTCGCGCCGATTCCAGGCGCACCGGAGAACCGTTCTTCAGCCACGTCACCTGGAATGTGCACATGCAGGGACTAATGTTCTATAATACATATAACAATCATGATTTATAGCTTGATGAGGTCAGTGGCTCCCCGAGATGTTAAACAACGCACCAGCAAGATATTCTGTCCATAATATAGTACTTTCCCTAAATGTCCCGCAGCCGCGGGACACCCGTACATGTGCACATGAAGCCGGCATCTTTTAAAACGAAGAAATTACTTCAGTAAAGATTTACGGTAAGCGAACCGAAGGCATTATTAGGGCAACTATTTTCATTCAGACCAGATCAGATGTCTAGGCAGACGTTGAATGAATTCCTCACGTTGAGTTTGAGCGTCGGCGGCATGATGTGAACTTTGGAAGCGCCATAAACCCTGCGGTCGGGCGCGCCGCCCGCGCTCAGCACGCGCAGCGCCAGCCGCGGCGGCGCGCGCAGCCCGCACGGCAGCAGCACCGGCCCGCCCAGCACGCCCAACACGCTGCGCGCACCGCCACTCACTTCTGGCAGCTCTGCAAGGCAGGAAACGAGTCAAGTTCATTTGAGGGAACAAGGTCCGGCTGCAAACGGCGACGCGTTATTAAAACAGCTGACCTGAAATTCATCGTGACGTATACATTATTGTACCCATTTCTGAATATTTGAAATTAGAGAGATTTGAGATCAATTCGAACAAGATTTGTCAGTTCCCACGTTTCTGTTGAAATTCGTACAGCGAGATACTATAACACCGGACAGTCAACAGGACGGCCTCGCATGGCCATTGGATCTACCGACAGTACCTGCGAGGAAAACAGTAGCGAGTCTCGAAACGATGGTACCGATGCCGTCGACGCTGGCTACGCACTGGTACTGCCCCGCGGTGGACGCGGACATGTTCTCGATCACCAGGGACCCGTTAGGCAGCTGCTTCCTGTAACAGACAACACCACTTCATCAGCACTACTAATGTAAAGAATCCAGAAGAATGTACGACATAAAGATTAATTGAAAGGATCATAGGAAGGTAAAGTGTTAATAACTACGGTATTTGTGCTACAAAATTAATCAGCCATACCTCTCCTGTAATTATTTGGATATCTGTAAAAGGCACCATATTCTTCCCCTCCAGCTGCGACGTGAAATAGCAGACATTAGCTATCTCCTTAAGATTACTACCAACCTTATTGATTGCCCCGAACTTCTATCTGAGATTTCCATAGTGGTTCCAACAAAGCATCTTCGTACTATCACTACAATTCACTTGCCTGTCGCATTAACTAATTATAAACAAAATTCATTTATTTGGCGTGCAAGCAACTACTTTAACAAAATTTCAACCCTTTTTGATCTTGATCTTTTTAATACTAGCAGTGCGTCCGCAAGGAATATATTGTCGCGTTCGTTTTTTAACATTTAAGTTGTGCAAGTAGCAGTGGTAGCAAGTACTATTAAATATAAATATAAATTTGTTTGTATAACATGTATTTGTATATTATTATGTATTTGTTTGTAGTAGAATGAATTGTATTTATGTATTTTTTGTACTGAGTTTTTCAATGTGTCAATTTTTATTACTTAAATATTTATCAGTAGGGAACTATTTGCTTTTCTACTATTAATATAATTTCTATTGTAATAGCACTTAAGCTGTTTGTACCCTCTAAGATAAAATAAATAAATAAAAGATAAAATAAATAAAATAAAATAACCACAATTTTGCTGAAACGTCCGTGTGATTTACTAGGAATTTAAATTACAGTCTGAACTTAATATTGGGCTTCAAGTCACACGACCAAGGAAGGAAGGACGAAGTGGTGATAACCTACCAAACGATGACATAACATACCTGTACTTGTCATTTGCTGACACGGCATGCTCTCTGGTAGGCATCTGCGCGCTGTGCCTCCACGCTATTCTAACGACGCCTCCCGCCACCGCCGCGCAGTTGAGCACGGTGCTCTCGCCCGCTGCGACCACTGCGTCTGACGGTTCCCATGTTAGACGGATCCCTTCATCTTGGTCTTCGCCTCCTGGAAACCATAAAAATCCGGTTAACAAAAGACCTCGATCAATTTGGAGTTCAGCGTACAGCAAAGACAAAGATCCCTCATCGAAAAAGGCAAAAATTATACAAATTATTAGTTCACTACAGAATCAGATCGCTAATACGTGAGGCGCACTATAAGTTTCCGGATTGAATAAGAAAAAAATACTATCAGAAATTAATTTATTGTTTCCAAAATATTCTCCGTTAGCGTTAATGCACTTTTTCATGCGAATGAACCAATTTTCAAAACATTCGCCACTCCTCCATGACAATCTCTGAAACATATTTTTCATACTCTTCGACAGCCTCTTCAGGTGATGAAAATCGTTAACCGCGTAACTGGTTCTTAACTTTTGTAGATAAATAAAAGTCATAAGGTGCCAGGTTGGGACTGTACGCGGGATGGTTCATAAGGTCAACGTTGTTCACCTTCAAAAATTCGTTTGTCTGTCTGGTCGTGTGAGAACGGTTTACGGTTATTTTTACGGAGTTTGTCAATAACTTCCGGCAAACAAATGGTCGTGTACCGATCACTATTCACGGTACAACGATTCTCCAAAGCAATAGTAACCACGTGTCCAGTTTTATTTAAAAAAAGAAGCAATCATCTGCTTAGGCACTTCGCACGCGCGCCATTTTGAAAGACCCATACGCTCGATTGCTGCTTTGTTTTGGGTTCGTAACTATAAAGCCATGTTTCGTCACCTGTTACTATGTCCCACACCAAATTTGACGCCCCTTCATTGAATCTGGTAAGCATGGCAAAGCATCAAGTGACGCGATCCGCTTTTTGTGCCTCAGTCAAATTGTGTGGGATCCACCGAGAACACAGCTTTTTCACACCTAAATGTTTGTGTAGTATTGATTGTATTTGACTCATGCCTATGCCTAAAGATGCCCGAATGTCATGGCATGTCACATGCCTGTCTGTTTTGATCATACGGTGCACAGCATCGATGTTTTTGTTGTTCACAGCAGTGGACGGGCGACCATCACGAAATACGTCACTGAGATTCACACGACCTCGTTTGAATTCTGCAAACCAGCTATAAATAGTCGCCATGCATGGTGCTTCATCGCCAAAAGCAGTTTGAAGCCGAGCGAAGCTCCGCTGAGCTGTTAAATTACACTTAAAGTCGTAGAAATTCATACTACGAAAATTTTCACGAGTTAAATCCATGGTGATGTAGACAACCAATTTCTAAAATGTCGCCACAATGTAAAATCAAGTGACAGTCAGATGAAACAAACTGTATTGTACAGCCAAAGAGTTCCATTATCAAATGTTGTAATTACTTTTTAAATATTGTTTATGTCAGTGGCCATTTCCGGAAACTTATAGTGCACCCTATGTACACAATAAAACATAATTATATAATAAAGAATGTTCAGTGTAATCTTGTTACGCAGCTCATTCCACTCACCACCCCTTATTGAATCCATTGTATCTCCAATAAAAGGATTGCTCGTTTTAGAAAAGACCCCGGTTTAACTTGACCCCTCCTACCGTAACGTACTGAATAAATCGGAGGCTGGTTATACTTGTATTGTTTCAAATTAAACTGGTCCCTTTAGGCGTAACATCATATTCAAAGATTTGCGCTCTTACGTTTGTCCTCAAAATTTTAAAGGTCAACTTTGTTTGGCAGCCTTTTGCTTTAGATCCTCCCAGATTATTCTGACGTATAATAACACTACACCTTGAGCAGATTCCAGTTCAACTTAGATTGGTATCGTTTTCGCTTGTTTCGCTGAAGTGCCTACTTAAGAGGGTGTAGTTAAATTTTGTAGGGTCAACAGATATAATACATATAGATAGTACGTACACTAAAGCCTGTATTGGATATGTGATATTAGTTTCTTTGTTAATTTGTTATTTATTTTAATTATTAATTCAAAGATCGAATTATAACAAAAATTCCTTCGATCCGGCTGGATTCGAACCAGCGCCTTCAGAATACTGTGCTGAAGGCGCAGTTTTTAATATAACTATCACAAACTAGTAGAGTCATTTCACAAAACTTTACGACAACCGCTCTAGTGGTCGGTGCTTTGAAACCCTGTAGAGTGCACGTTTTGCTTGGCATTGCAAAAAGGTTGCGTGCGCGCCGCCCTAAGCGGCCCACCGTGCTAGTATAACGATCTGGCACAAATAGACCCAGTCTTTCTAAAACAGAAGGATTATCTATACTATGTCGTAAGAGCAGGCAGTAATGAGTAAGCAACATAATCTTTCGCTTTCAAAGAAAACATTCCAATTTACTGGATCCCAAACTGGTATTATTTTCTATTTGGTAGTATTTCCTCTAATGAAAAATCCCAAACAGACATAAGACTGCAGTACTAATTAATATGTTTTAGTTTATTCTAATTTATATGATTAATTAATAATAAATTGAACTTAATAAAAATTCATTCAATAAAATAATTTGTAAAACTTAATGTAGCGTAAATTGGAATGTTTTCTTTGTAAAATTAAAAAGAAGGTATTTTTTATTTAATTAATAACTATTACAACTATACTGAAAAATAGGATGGTTTGCATCAATATTAGACATAACTGGTAGAAGACTGTACCACCTTAGTCAACCGTGACCATGGGACCTGTAAAGGGCCCGAAACGTCGGTTTGTTTGAAAAAATAAATATACACGATTAAAAAAAAAAGTTTCATTTTCTATGAAATATATTTGTTTTTGCAAAAGTTTGATTTATGTTCTCATGAATACGATCACCAGATGGGCATTTTTGAACTTTTATAAATTAAAAAAGAAGAATAAAATTAAACAAATACAGACAGTAGTTCTCTAATAAGCTCTGAATGGCATTGCAACTGTTATGGATAGGCGTGTCGCTTACCACCAGGGGCACGGCTTGTTCGTCCTGTCACTTGGTATCATAATAAATAAGAACAGCTTTATTTTGTTTTTATAAAGTTCAGAAAATTCTCCTGGAGACCGTACTATGTGCCTACATAATAATTTAGTCTTAAGTAACATCATTTCAGCGTAAGCCGTTTGCCAGAGCTTACCCTTTTAATGAAATTAAGTTTGGTCGTCAAAATCTGATTGAAGTCGAGGCATATGCGCCCAAGTCGAACTTTTCTTTAACGACCTCCATTGAAACCTCAAGTGGCAAATGCGAGACTGGATTCACTCGCACGCAATTGCCGCCTCTCGCGGCACAAAAAATTTAAAACAAAATGCAATCTACTTGTAATTGCAGAAAGTTGTGAACGTGTCTTTATCCTTTACAATTATTTTTTAACGATATTTTTGCTTCTTAAAGTGGAATAACCCTAAATGCAAAGTGGACGCAATGCCTCTCAAAGGATCAAGCTCTTCAGATCCATGACGGGCTCCACGAGGCTCTTGAGACTCTCCGGGGCTCTTACAGATTGTATCGCTAAGCATTATGATAAACAACAAGGGATCGAGATGTAATCATTGTACAAAGAGCACTCAGCCAAACTGGTCTTCTTTTTAAATATACAAATGGTTTCTATGAACATTATTCAGTTTATTAAAGAGTTTATTAAAGGTGCACCACACAAAGAAAGTTACACAGCTTGGCAAAAGTGTCCTCAACAAGAGGATATAATATGCTCGGAGGGAAATTGAAGCACTATTTCAGTGTATAGTTCAACATCGTATAGCAAAAGTCCATCACGCATATTAAGTAACACCAAGTTACTTACTAGTCATAGATGTATACGTCGCGGCGCGTGGCGGTGGCGTCTTTGGCGTGAAATCAGTGTGGCATTATATTCAGGTTTTTTTAAAAACACTAAAATATTATTTTATCACACTTGCACGTAAATAGTGTGATTGCATGCGGGCTAACCTCACTATAATGCCCCAAATAAAACTCTCGGACCTTTTTAATTGTCATTGTCGTGAAATGAGAAGAAAAAAGACCCGATGGTTTTATTTGGAGGATTATAGTTAAGTTAGCCTGCATGCAATACTTAGATAATGCATGTTTTGTCGTGCACGTTAGCCCGTTATTATAATTATTGTGTCGTGTATTTTGGTCTGCAAGAAGATATTTCTTATAGAAATAAGCAGTACCTTTTGTCCGGGTTTCGGTTTTACTACTTGTGATTTGTGTTTTCCTGTACAATAAATAGTTAAATAAATAAATACAATCATATTCAAATTCAATCATCTTTACTCGCAAATGTGACAAAAAACATTGTAAGTTTCACGGGCGGTACGTGAATTACGAGACTCGACTCCGACAACCCTCAGTCTTCGACTTCGGGCTTCTAATAGAGTCTCACTCGTAATTCCTTATTTACCGCCCTTAATACACAATGTACTATTAAAATACAACCTTTGTATTCTCATCATCGGATCAAAGTTGCCATGTTATTGTAATGTCATCGGATTTCCATAGTATACCAAATATCAAGTCGATCAGACAAATGGAAGTCTTTACAACTGATAATCTTTAAACAGAACTGGCGGCGGGCGGCAGCGCGTATTTCTATAGACCATACTAACGAACTGTCGTTAGTATGGATGGCCACATTTACATTTTCCCTCCCTCCCGAAGTGCTCCTAATGCAGTCATTACGGCACTTCGGGAGATATATCTGTTTGTTTGCTCTTTTCTGTCCTCAGTATTGCAGAAATTGCTGTTGTGACAAAAGAAAAATATTCCTAATGATCGGGGGAAAAGTTACGTAGGCCTGTGTTGTAGTGATTCAGTCGAAGTGACGCACGTAGTAATACAAACTAAATGAAACTATTTCTTAAACGTGGAAACGTGAAAAAACAGTTACACCTACCAAACAAATCGTTCATACATTCTTGCGCAAATTGGTTTTAGATCCGGACTCTGCACGGAGACAGTAGTTCTTTGATACTACACAGATAGGAAAACACCTGTATTCGCATGTTTCCTGGACTTGTCGAAGGCCTTTGACTTGGTGTCCTATGGTAAACTATGGCAGAAGCTGTATGAAGACACAACACTACCCGATGATCTGGTGGAGTTGTTCAGGTTTTGGTATGGTCACCAGACAAATGTTGTGAGGTGGGCAGACACGCTATCCGATCCATACAGGTTGGGGTGTGGGGTGCGACAGGGGGGGCTGACGTCATCCAGGCTCTTCAGCTTGTATGTCAATCGGTTGATTGAGGAGCTCAGGAGCACTATGGTAGGCTGCTCAGTGGATGAGACTTTTGTGAACAACATGAGTTATGCAGATGACATGGTGTTGCTGAGCCCGTCAATCAGCGCCCTTAGGGAGCTGGTGGCTGTATGTGAGCATTACGCGGAGATGCCTCACGTACAATACCTCTAAAAGCAAGTTGCTGATTTTTGAGGCGAAAGGTGCAACATTGTCCGCTCAAGTATCGCCTATTAAATTTAATGGCAATTTAACGCTTTTGAAGCGAGTTACTGAATGTAAGTACCTGGGGCACCGAGTCACTGCAAATCTCAAGGATAACGTGGACTTGGAGCGGTAGCGTAGGGCGCCGGTAGTCAGAAGCAACATGTTGCTCCGTAGGTTTGCAAAGTGTACAAAGGACGTAAAAATTATGCTCTTCAGAGCATACTGTCAATCATTTTACACTTGCGCTCTAAGAGTCCAATACAACAACGCGTTCACGATGTTGTTGGGGCTACCGCGTCATTGTAGTGCATCCGCAATGTTCGCGGAGACGCGAACGGACGGGTTTTACGCCATTATGCGTAAGCGCATTGCGTCGTTGTTGCGGCGCGTGTGGGCGGTAGCCCCAACAGCCTCCTGGCCGTTGTTGCGACCAGAGTCGACGGCCCTTTGTACAGACACGGAAAGCTCTTCATGCGACAGCCAAAAGGGATTAGTGTTATAGGAAATTTGTATTTACTAACTTAGTCAAAAGGTTACAATTGTTAATAACAAGATATGGGGACAATGCGAAATAAACTATTATTATTATTATTCTCGAATATAAAAATAAATCATAGCGTGGCACGAAACCCGTAATTAGTGATAATCAAAAAATCTATACGTCATAGCGGGTGTCAATAACATCACCCTCCTCCTGGCTTTTCCCAGTACCGAAATGCCGGCTTGTTCACGAGCCCATTTTCATTTGACAAACTACCTGATGGAAATTAGGTAAAAAGTTTATACGACATGATACCACGCAAGCATGCGTGGCGAATGCTTCGCCGCCAGAACAGCTGAGAATTGTAAAAAGCTCAAATACACAACTGCTTCCGCCAAAGAATAAGTTTAGTCCTCCAAAAGGTAACCAGCCTTCAGGGCAGAATGCCCCAGGGAGCCAACTAGATGATTTTTTTTACCTTAACTAAGTGTGATTAAGGAAGAAAATGCTATTGTAACGTTGTTTTCCTATCTATTTCCATTATTTAAAACTGGTAAATGTACTTAATATACACGGTGAACGGAACGAACGAGCTCAGGAGCGCTAGCTTAAATATGGC